TTATTTAATTGTTTTTACTTTTTATCAATGTTTCTTAAAAACTTAAGAGTTCTTTTATTTATTATTATTCCTAATGAAAAAAGTATTTTGAACATTTGTCTTTAATGTTTAATGCTATGTTTATTGTTACAATATTTTATGCGTTTTAAACTGAACTATTCTCAAGTTATTCTTCTATTATTCTAATATTATATAACTAGAAGGGTACTTTATGTGTTATCCCTTTGACTATTTTCGTCAGCGCCGAACCAAAGTAATTTCCAAGTTTATTTTTACATAGTAATTGATTTATTTTATTAAATTTATTTTAAGATTTGATAAAAAATGGTAAATGGGATAATTCGTAAGTATCACTAGAAGTTATAATTCTGTCATATAGATAGCAACAACTCCAGCACATAAATAAATTAATTATAAGTAGAAAAGATGATGCTTTTCTGGCATAATTAGGAAGACAATCCAATGTATCAGATGCATTTCTATTCAATTAATGAAATATTTAATTAAAAAAAAATATGATAGCTGTATACAATGACTGTTATTGTTTCTGTTAATTGAACCATAATATATCATTGGTTCTGCTTACATGATAGTTGTTTAATTACGAATCAATTTAATTTACTAAGTTTATTTCTTATGATTCGGGTTTGTTGCATTGTCGTGTGAATAATTTTCTTTCGATTATAATTAAGTTTTTACAACTAGATCGTGTAATGGTTTAAAGCAGTTTTCATTTCTTTTATGAAAATTTTTGTTGCTCATCATTTTTTTCTAGTATTAGTAAAATAGTTTTTCTGATTTCGCTTGTCTTTAACGATGACAATAACCGCACTGCAATCTTTATCTGAGTTTCTGTTGCCTCTGTAGTACTCTAATCTAATTAGCACGAACACATTGCAATTTTTACGTCAAATAATTTCTAGTAGTCGAAATTAATGCCTTTCTTTAATTACGTTTCATTAATTAACGTAATTAAGAAACCAATATCTCGGATATGAGTTTTGTAATCAGGGATTCATCTAATAACCAATCCACGATACGTCAAAAAGAGGGAAATAAGGTAATTAAAAACACTATTGTGTTCGTGTTGTACACAGGAAATAAACTTGAATAATTCGTTGAAAAAGTTTATGTAGAAAAAAAAAAGTTGTTTTCCAAACGATTCCAAAAAAAGAATAAAGTAATATTGATAATGAGTCGGCCATCAATGAAGATCTGGAGAAGTAAATTTCCTTAAACCAATCAGAAGACTTTTTTTTTCTTCTTTTTTTTTCCTTCTGCCGACAGGGGGTAATTTTATTATTGAAATTTCTGTATAGCTTCGGTTTTTGATTGACGGACCTTATTGTTTGAAAACCAGTTTTTAGTTTGTTCTTGTAGAATGGAAATAAGCTATATTTGTGAAGAAACCTTGTACAGGATTTGCATGGTTCTCGCCTTGTTAATTTTATTTGTTTTTCTTTTTTTTTCTTCAAAGTTAGTAGAGTTTTGAAAGGTCAAATACTCGCGTGTTGGCTTGTAGTAACTAGGTGAATTATTGAAAGATTTTTTTTATTAATTTAATTTTTGTTGTTTTTTTTACCTTTATATCACAGGAGACGTAAAAACTGATTTTAATGGTGTATGCAAAAAAGCAAAATATTTAAAACTGTTTTTCCAAAGCTGCGTCGTCACATTAAACGTTTCTTTTTTGATACGTTTCTTTTTTGATTACGTATTATATGGTATTTTTATAACTGCTGTGAATTTTCAATAGTTATTCGTTGATGCTAGGTCACGTTTATACTATCTTCAACTAGCACTCTTTATGCTGATTCTGAAAACGACACAAAACTTCAATATGAAAAAAACTTTTGTAAAAAATATAATGTGTTTGTAGTTTTTTTTTTCTTAATATTTTAAAAGTGATTCTAACTCTGCATTATTTGGGTTCATAAAAATTTGAAAAAATTGTGAATTACTCACTGATTTTGATCATTTTTATCTAGGTCGAAAAATCTAGCCTAAATTGTCGATTTGATTTTTTTAAAATTTTTTTTACGTTATTTGTCCGTTCTAAAGCTCAGTTAATTCATTGTGACAAGATGAGATACATAGTTTACATAGCTTTGGCTTTTTTAATGTTATTATTATTATTTTCCTTCGCTAAAAAACTACGAAAAAGACTATCAAGAGTTAACTTCCCGCTAGGAATGTTCTCTTGGTGACCACTCAACTCAGCACGCGCTGTCTCGCGCGTGTTTTGTCCACAAGCAAATCGCGGTTTCTAGTTTTTTCATCATTCAAATTGCCACATGCAGAAGAATCTTCGGGGATCTAAAAATCTAATCGAGGGGATCTCGCCTCGTCACGCGGCTCTTTGAATGTCGAAAGCTAGTAACCGCTATTCGTTTGTGGTCAAAAACACGTAGCAAGTGCTAGGTCGCGTAGCACGATGAAAAAATTCCTAGTGGGCTGCCTATTGAAACTGCAGTAAAACTTGAAGAGCTTTAAGTTTAATACCGAGTGGAAAATTGGTAGTCGGAAACCCCAAAATTGGGTCAGCTGTTCAACGGCGATTATAAACTACATATTATCTTTCTTGTTCAAAAAATTGTTCACCTGATGAATCGCCACATGAAAAAAACTCTTTAAAATCAATGAATAATTCACAATTTTTGCTTGTATATATACAGCGTTGGAGAAACTATTCAAGCATTTAAAAAAAAATTTAAACTTTCATGCTTTCATTCTCATTCAATATTTTTTTAACTTACATTCAATCTAATATTTGACATTACAAATATATAAAGAAAAAACTAAGTTTTGCAATGAAATATTGCATGGTATAGAATAAATAACGTCTAGATTTTCATTGAAATTTTCCTTACATACCAGGAATTTTTGTTATTTTTCTGAAACTGAGTAGGAGCCCTGTCAGAATTCTCTAAACGTACTAATATTTTACTCTATTTTTAAACCAATTTTACTAACGTTTAGTCCTTACAAAAATAAGTATTTTTCTGAAGTACAAAAGTATAAGTATCATATTATGAAACAAGAATAAATTTTTCTATAAAATAAGAAAGAATTTAATAATCTTAGATTTTTTTAAATATTTTTTTTTTACTTATTTTTATAAACATTCACTGTTAAAAAATTCAACTAGATAACACTGGCTCAATCCGCCAGTAATGCTAAGCTAAAATAAAATGTGAATGCATTAAACGAACGGGAAAATTAAAAAGGATATGTTACTATTTGGCGTGTCAAAATGGACAATTTAATTAAATCTCTTTATTAATTATATCACTTAAATTATCAAAAAATTAAAAAAGTCATTATTTTATTAATAAATAAATGTTGAATAAATACTATTGTTGCCATATCATAATTTGGCTTTGTAAAATATATTTTTTCGAGGAACTTAAGAAATACAAAAATATATTTATTGTAAATAATAATAATAATGGAGTTATTAAATGTAATGAAATTAAATGAGAATATTCAAAATTTGCAAGTTAGTTTCCTCGAACATTTAGAATTGCTCACTTTTAAAGTTAATACTAAGAATTTCGCTTTCCAACTTTTTCTGTTTTGAGAAACCAAACACGATTTTCGTCCTTCTTATCCAATGACGAAAAATGTTGACTTTGAGAGCCATCTAGTAGAGAAATTCATTACTAATCTTTTTCAACCGGCAGACGATTTCATTTTTAGAACAAGAAAGTGTTAATCTCGATTTTGATTAATCTTATTGAAGTGTATGAATTCGTTCCTTTTTGTTTGTCATTACAATATAGTTAGAATTAAAGAATAATGTTAAATGCTTTTATTCAATTTAAATCTCAGCCTTATCGGAGAATAAATATTGGCCTATTTTAATTAAAATACTAATTAGTAATGGAGCATTTTAATGTACTAAGAAAGATAAGCCAATTTTAAGTTATATCAATTTTAGTAACCATGGTTTTTAAAGTTTTTTGATATTTTCAAAACATTTTTAGTCTAGGCTTACCTGAAGTTTAGTCTAAACTTAGTCTAAATTTAGTCTAAGTTTAGTCTAAACTTAGTCTAGGCTTACCTGAACTCATTTTCTCTATGTTTTAAATTTCAAATTACTTATGTAGATGAAAGAGAATTTGTCATGAAGGATTTCTCCCATGACATAGCGTCCATATTGACTTAACAAATACAATCGGACCTCTATTTAACGAAGTCGCTAAATCCCGTTAATAAGTTCGTTATATAGAAAATTCGTTAAATAGAAAATCACCTTTTGAAACACTAATACAACACAAAACAGATTTTAAATTCATAAGCACTAGACACAAGTAAAATAGCAATTGATACACCTTTATCTTGTAAACTAGTATCTACTATTAATTTTATAAATCTTAACCGTAAAAGAAATCTGCATGGAAAACAAGAATCGAGCAAAACATTATCCACTGTTACACTATCATGCTTCATACATTTTCAACTAAAACTAAATTTATGCATAAAATTATAGCTGCATTTAATATAAAAGTAATTTTAAACATACATTACCGCGTGCGTTCTTAAGTTTAATTGCTACTAATAAAATTCGTTAATTTTGTCTGAAACAAAAAGGGAAAGAGATTTTACTGCTTTCTCTAAAAGTAAAGTGGCTTCGAAAATCAATTCAAGGTCATTTTCCCCATAAAATGCGTAAACAAGTTTGAAATGTTCCGAAATATTTCGGGAAATAGGGAAAGTGGATCTCAAAGAAAAATTCGTTTAAGTAGAAAATTCACTTCGCTATTTGGAAGTTATTTTACAAAGAAACTTCCGAAATGTTCTTGGTTCCTCGAAAAAAAATCGCAAAATAGAGAAATTCGCAAAATGGAAGTTCGTTAAATAGAAGTCCGACTGTACTTTTATGAACTTACGAACTGTCAGACGTTTTATATTATTTTCTTACATCAAATTCAACTTTTTAAAACTTGAATTTTTTATACATAAATATTAGAGTGACATTTCAAATGTTTCTTTTCCAGACGCTTGCGGACTTTCGGACGTGGTGCACATCGAGAGTCTCCAAGAGAAATCCCAATGTGCCCTGGAGGAATACTGCAGGACGCAACACCCCAATCAACCAATGAGATTCGGTAAACTCTTGCTGAGATTACCCTCCCTCAGGACTGTCTCTTCACAAGTCATCGAGCAATTGTTCTTTGTGAGATTGGTGGGCAAGACTCCCATCGAGACACTCATCAGAGACATGCTGCTCAGTGGTAGTTCTTTCAATTGGCCCTACTTACCGCTACAGTGACCCCCACCTCATCTCTATGTGGGCTGCTCAAATAGGACGTGATAAAAGCTCTCCAGTGGCGTGGACCGCCACTGCTGTGGTTGTGACATCTCTATTCCTGCTTCTACAAGTGATGATTACCTCTTGGAACTTCTGGCAGTTTAGGTATTGTCTTGGCCTTAAAAGATGCCCAGCGCAGAATCCAATGAAGGTTGCGTGTGATTTTGAATAAGGATTGATTCTGTTTTTAAATTCCTCTTTTAACTGTCAATAGCCATAATTGAAATGATGAATCGGATTAACGGTTTTTAATTCCGTTTATTGTTTAAATGTCAATAGCCCTAATTAAGATAATTGTAAAAGTAATCCTAATTAAGATGACCATAATTAAGATATTGTGATTTTGAATCGGATTGATTCTGTTTTTAATTCCTTTTATTGTTTAAATCTCAATGGCCTAATGTAAAAGTAATCCTAATTAAGATGACCATAATTAGGATATTGTGATTTTGAAATTGGATTAATTCTATTTTTAATTTTTCTTTCATTGTTTAAATGTCAATAGACACAATTAAGATGGCCTTATCAAAAATACTATCATCCTGGATCGGATTAATTCTGTTTTTAATTCCTTTTTATTGTTTAAATGTCAATAGCCCTAATAAAGATGATTGTAGAAGTAATCCCAATTAAGATGACCATATTAAGATCTTGTGATTTTGAATCGGATTAATTCTGTTTTTAATTCCATTTGTTATTTAAACTGTCAATTGGCATAATTAAGAGGACATTATTTTAAAGTCTTATAACAGTAAAAAATGTTAATGCTTAGAAATTGATTAATTCTGTTTTTATTTCTTTTCATTATTTAACTGTCAATAACCATAGTTGAGATGATATTGGTTGAAAATCTTTTATTGATTCAAAGGGTCACTGCTTGAAAAATGAAATAATATTGGTATTCTGATTAATTCTATAGTTAATTTCTTTTAGGGAATAAAAATTCAGATAGTATTGTCGTTATTACGAAAGGATTCACAATAGTGAATTATCTCAAATTGCTTGAATTAATATGGTATTTTAAATCAAATTAATTCTGTATTTTAATTTTTCGTACTCAAATCATTATTTAAAATTTGTTTGAAGTAATATTAGTATTTTTAATCTGGTATTTTGATTTATTCTTTTTTTTAAAATTCTTTTAACGATTAACAGTTAAAATTATGTTGTTTAAAAATCTGTTACTACTCTGAAAGGGTTATAATTTTTTTCTTTTATGGAATATTGATTTATTCGGATTTATTCTGTTTTAAATTTTCTTTAATTTCTAAATAATTATAATCAAGTTGATATTGTTTGAAAATCTGTTATTACTGTAAAATTGTTTAAAAAATTATTGTGGAAACTGTTCGGAGTAATATTGATATTAATTCTGTTTTTATTTTAATTTTTTTTTATTGTTTATAGTTAATAGCCAGAATTAAGATGGTATTGTTTGAAATCTACTGGAATTGATGTTTTTCGATTAATCTAAAGGCATCGATTACAGTAATCGAATCTATTACTGTAATCGATGCCATTAGTTTCGAAATAGGGAAGACTCTTGGTCCACAAATGGATGCTCGAACTTTATGTATCGGTACTTTCAATCAGGTTAATTCTGTTTTTAATATTTAATAGCCAGAATTAAGATTACTTTGTTTGGAAATCCGTTTTACGAGTAAAAGGGTTCCAAAATTTAATTGTGAAAAATTGTTCGAAGTGATATTGTATTTTTAATCGGATAAATTCGGTTTTTAATTTTTTTTTTTCGGTGTTCAGTTTAGGGAATAATTGTTTGAACTTTTGTGATTATGACTTCTCTAATAAATTGAAAATTTATTATTTAAATATATTCTTTATAAGTCATATTTTTCAAATTCTACGTTTAAAACTCGAAAAAATGGAACTAAATTTTTGTATCGATAAATGGCCTTTTTTTGTGTTTCTCTTAGTTTTATTCTAGGCAACGACTAAAGGTATTAAATTATTTCTAAATGTGTTAAATTATTGAATTTTGTCACTGAAAGACAATATGTGACGTTTGCGCTGGTGCTATATTTTCTGAGGCCAGTGATGTATGTAAATATTGTGTACATAATTGTAGCTATAATAAATTAAGTACCGGCGATTAAGAATTAATTTTTTTAGAAATAAAAGTTTTTACTGCACCTATTTTTAATGATCTCACTTAATAAGTTTATCTATTTAAAATAGTAATAACTAAATATTCTTACACAAAATTATTAAATTAACAATACTTACGTTGATTAAGAACAATTAGAAATTCGTCATTACTAATTTTTAAACTAAAGGCAGTAGGTTGAAAAAATGTTTAAACATAATATTACAACTTTCATTGATTATTAGTAAATTTTATTGCGAAATTCTTATTATTATTAATAATTATTCTTCTTATTAATAATTATTCTTATTTATTCTTACTTATTATTCTTACTTATTATTAAATTTTCACTTATAATTTTTAAACTTTTTTCAAAATTTATTCTTTCAACATGATTTCTCAACACATATTAAATTTTTATTCCTAATTATTATACTTTTTTGTTCATATCAATTCTTTTAGCATGATTATTGAACACATATTAAAATTTCATTCATAATTATTATACTTTTTTTTTTTTTTTTTNTTTTTTTACTTTTTTTTGCAATATACATTTTTTTAACGGGAATACTTAACACGTAAACATTTTTATTCATAATTATTATCCTTTTTTTCATATAAATTCTTTTAAGATGATTATTGTACGCATATTAAAATTTTATTCATAATTATTATACTTTTTTTTGCAATAAACATTTTTTTAACGGGAATACTTAACACATAAAAATTTTTATTCATAATTATTATACTTTTTTTTCAATATCAATATTTTAAACACAAATACTTAAACATACATTGAATTTTCATTCATAATTATTATACTTTTTTATTTTTTCTATATCAATTCTTTCAATTTGAATTCTCGATAGTTTTGAATGAACGTAAGTTCCATTATCTACAATATAATTGTATAAGGCAAAGGCTCCAAAATACTTTTTCGGATTATCTTTAGTTCCAAGCAAACATTATGGTTTAAATCAGTACTTATCAATGTATCATACTTATTTCTTTTTCGTCGGTATATTAATCATTTATAAATAAATCAATTTATGCATACATTCATATATATATATTTTCATGTGTTACATATTTTCAATAGTGCATTCTTCACAATTCCATAATTGTATGTACATAGAATAGTTGTTCTCAAGTGACGTCATCATGCAAATATTAGCCAATCACGTAAAAACATTTTTAAAGTACGTTGCAATAATTATAGTTAACCCTTTATTTCACGGTTAAATTATTTATTGTTGATTTTAGCGATTTTTCACTTGTTGCTATAGCACCGAAATGTGATAGATTTTAATAAATTTTAATTTTTCTCGGATCTGTTGAATAATTTCTATACTTTATTTGTTAGCATCAATTTTATAATTTATGTATAGGTTTCTGTGTTAACTTGTTATTTTAGAATCACTTGCGAACAGCTATTTTGAAATCTATTGCATTGTACAGGTGTTTATCAGTTGTCAGTGACATTGTGTTCAATTTTGTGGATTTTTAGAGAAAAACTTCGTGCCGTCTTATTATTTTTTTAATTTTTTATTAATGTTTTTTTTTAACTCACAGTTCCTGCAAAGCACTCAATTATAACAGAATTTTTCAGTTAGTGTAAAATTCATAATTTAGGTTTAACTGTCAATAATTGAAGGACCCCCTTTTCTAACAGCCAAAAAAATAAAACAAATTTTTTAGAAGAATTTTTTTTTTTTTATTCCGAAAAAGACGCAATTTGCTTGTAGACAATAATCAATATAATGTTCCTGTGTATTGTGCTGCCATCTTGTGGATATTTCCGGAAACTTTTATATTACGGATCTGATAACACCCAGTAACAGTTTAATGTAAAAATGTCGTCTTAGAAAAAAGTGCGGCATATTACTATATAGCTCCAAGCTCTTTGGATACTGAAGAGATAACATGAAGTATATTGCTTATAAATTAATTTTATATTTAAAAAAAAAATGCTTATTTACTTATTTTTTCTTACCATAATGTTGCTAGCACTAAAAAGGTTTGAATCTCAATGTTAAAATTTTTTTGTGATAGAAGTGCTAATTATTAAATTTAAATTATTGTTCCAATTTATAATTGTTTAGTCATTGGATATGAATTATCATATGTTACTACTATTTTTAAATGTGCTATGATTTAGTAAATCAAATTTTGTGTATAAGAAAAGATGTTTTGAAAATAACAACATTATTGACTTTTAAAATCATATGATTAGTTGTTGTGCATCTTCAGTTACTTTAGTTGCAAATATAAATTAATACTCAATGAAGAATATCAATGTTGTATTTTTTTCCAGTTGTACATGGCAGTAAATTTTATTGTAAAATAATAACTGTGTTTAATTCTGCAAATTGTAAAATTTCTTGTATTGCTCATTTAAAAAATATTTTTGATGAATACTTTGTAATTTAACAGTGCAGGTCTGTGAGTAATTTTTTTTTCTTGCGGAGGTTCCGCAAAAATAAAGAGTATTGTTGAATATAATTTGAGAGTTTTTTTTTTAAATTTCATTTCATGTCTTCTTAAATCATTAAATACCTTTGCCTTCCAATGAAGTGAACCGGGTTTGAATCCCTGAGATGGCTGTTCGATACAAATATTGCATCCGGCTTGCATGAACACAGTGCTAGCGTGAAATATCCTCAATGGTAGACGGATCATTGGCTTGAGTCCCCTTGCTGGCAGGCTAACCGTAGGAGGTTTCCTTGGTTTTACTCTCCATGGAAAGCAAATGCGGGTTAGTTCCATCAAAAAGTCCTCCATGAAGGCAAATTTCTCTCAATACTTGATCCAAGAGTTCCCTTGTCTTCTGTATTATGTTCAAAATTACAAGGCTACGGAGTTGAATATTAGTAGTCGCAAACCCAAAAAAAAGGGTCAGCTGATCAACGACGGTTTTAAAATTAAATGTTTATTCAACCCAAAGACAATTCAGTTTCACGTATGCAAAGAACTCCAAACATTTGAAAAATGTTGAAACATTTGAAAAATGTTGATGAAACCAGTTAAAATAGTAGAACCTCTCCCGTTTCTACTCCCCACCCTCCTCCTGTAATTTCTTAAAACAAATATCAAAATAATAGAAATCTATGGAATGTGAAAAAACCATCTGTATGTGTAATTTCAAAGTATTATGTTTTTACAGTTAAATATTTATATTATCTGAGAATTAGTGAGTACGCGTAATAAGGTTCTATATATACGATAATTAGCGCTAAAGGAAAACTGTAGCAAAAATCAAGTCCGTGGAACATGAAAATGTTTTTAAAAAAATTCCGAAATCGCGAACCTCGTACAAAAATTGCCCTATTGCTGTTAATGAAAACAAATGCTTCTCCACATTAAAATGGCGGGATTTCACATGATGTGACCACATTCACAGATTCGATTTTGCTGCGATTTCATTGTAAATACAATCGTGTTTGTAAAAATTGCAACACGATGAAGGAGTTATGCAAATTAAACCAAACTTACTTGAAATCTAAAGTGAGGTAAGACAAGCAAATGATTAGAATTTAAAAGCGCATGCGTGAAACGAGAACGGACTCCGTAACAGCTGCTTGTTCCATGTGTATAAAAGACTGTAAAGATCAGTTGAAATCAGTACTTCAATGATCCGAACAATACTCACCGGTCTGGGAAGCTATACCTGAACATCTAATGAAAAAACTCAATCAATGTCAAAACAAAATACTTAGAAAAATCACCGGTGCCAGATGGTTCATCAGAAACACTAATCTCCACAAAGATCTCAAGATTCCGA